TTCTGTAAAGTTACCAGTCTTTCTGAATGTATAGTATCCGGTCAGTTTATGTATCATTATACATTAATAAAACAAATATTTCAGTAAAGTTCCCTTTCTTTTTGAAGTTATAGTATCAATTCAATTTATTTTTATGACAGCAGCAGTCGCATGACACTTGGAGCATGCGCTGGAGTTCTAGAAAGATTGTGACTGTTCCCAGCAACTCTAGGCGTGCTATGTTCTTGTTTATAAGCCGAAAAAATAAAATGACGGCGGGGAGATAATTGCAGACAGAGAGATATAGAGACAGATAATCGAGTCAAGCCATAAGTAAAATGCGTGAATCATTGTGAATTCTAGCATGTGTTTAAGTTAAAGTGACTGTGGAAATTAAGTGTATTGCAAAGTTGAATTGAGAAAGAATAAACTAGTTTTATTTAAGAAAGGACTTGTATCGCTGAAGTTTCGGGAAAGAATTTCTACGGAAAATTAAAAAACGAGGAGACATAACAAATTGGTGTCAGAGAGTGGGACGAAAAAAAAAAAGGAAACGAGAAGCGACAAATCAAACTACAGCTTAGCAGAGTTCATGGCAGCAATACAAAAGAAGCAAGAAGAACGAGAAAAGAAACAAGAAGAACAAAAAAGAAACAAGAAGAGAGATTACAGCAGCTGTTAGGAGAAAATGAAAAGAAACAAGAAGAGAGATTACAGCAGTGGCAACTGGAACAAGAAAGGATACAGGAAGAAAGTCTCCAACAGTTACAAGAAAGTCAGCAGCAACTACAAGAAAGTCAACAAGTACAAATGGAAAACATTAGCAAATTTCAAAGTGAATTAAATACATTAAAGGATGATTTACTGTCTTTTATACAAGGAGGATATAATAGCCATCGACCTAATCAGCCTCAGACAATGGGAAGCCCCTTCCAGACCATGCAGCTAAACCCTAATGCAGACATCTTCAGTCCTCACAAGTAAATAGACACCACCTTTTCAGAAAAAATGAAAATTTTCAGTCATTTTCACATGAATTGACATATTTATAATTCAATTAATATCTAGTAGCTCTTCCTTTCGCTTAATGGAGTTCGTTGATCCTTTGGGGCGTCGTGAGAATCATCTCGTCGATTTTAGATTGTGGGATTTTCGCCCACTCTTGCTTCAAAATTTGGAGTAGATCACTCTTCGAAGTTGGTTTTTTGGTTGTTTTTTGAATTGCCGGTCGGGTATGGCCCAGAGGGTTTCGATGGTGCTCATGTCTGGAGATTGGCTCAGCCAGGGCAACTTCTGGATACCATTTTCTTCCTGCCACTTTTGGGTGTTTCTGGCAGTGTGACACGGTGCTTCATCTTTCTGGAACAACGTTGTGTTCTTGTCCACGAAACCCGAGGAATAAAGTGGCAAGAGTACTTCCTCCAATATTTCGACGTATTTCGCAAAATTTATGTTGCCAATGCACTCCACTAACCTCGATCTCCCACCAAACCCAAACAGCTCCCCAAACCATTCACGCTGAAACCACCATGCTTCACAGTTGGCTGCAATCTGTTGAGCCAAAACTCTTGGTGAGGCATTCTCCAGACCCATAGCCTTCCACTGTCCGAAAAT